TGGGAATATTCCGTCCCCGCCTGGGGACTTGAAAGGGCTGAATGATTCGACAGCCCACTTCACGACCTCCGGCTTGAACAGCTTGCTCGAAAATCTTCTAGCCAAAGCAATATCCCTAGGTGATTTCCTATTCCAGGGTATCGTGTGTTTTCCTGTTGAGTTGCCTAGTGGGGTGTTCCCTGGGAAGTGGGTGTTCATAAGGACTTCAAGAGTCTCCTCCATTCCTATTGTGTGACTCCCATCCTCCCGTTTTAATGTGCCAAGCGGGTTAGGCACATCTCTCTGAAGGGCTTTTTGCAGTCTAGCTGATTCTGGTAGGTTTTGAATCCCCTCACAGAACTGCCTCCAGGTCTTCCTTTTACTTTTCCTTATCTCTGAGTTGTACTCCGTTAGGGCTCTTGAGTAGTTAGCCCAATCTCTAGTTCTTTTGGCGGTGTTAAAGAGTTTACGGAGTTTACATCTCATCTTGCTTAGCTTCTCATTCCACCAGGGCTCGTTTCTTGTTGTCCTTTTGGTTTTGAGAGGACAGTTTTCCTCGTAGGCGTTTAGCATTGACCTGTATATCAGTTCTACCTTCATGTCAAGGCCGTCAATGGTCATGAGTTGGGTCACCTTGTCATTATGTGGAGCACCAATACATGGCAACACCAGGGTTTTTAAATTTTTTGGGGAATTTTGATTTTTAATGGTGACTTTCCCATGAAAACCCATAAAATAACAGAACAAACAGCAAAAACTGTATGGATTTTTCACAAAAACAGCTCAAACGATTTTGATTTAAAAGTTATTGCAACTTAAATTGATTTTCCCAACGTCGGACGCCGAGGGACAGTCACAGGGTGGTAGTATGTTTTGCTTATAGTGACAACTGCTTCCTGCCGCTGTAAACTGCATTATACAAGCGTCACTTAAATATTGTAAATTAGTGTTATAAACGACCTCCTCACAGAGTGAAAATTACATTATGTTGATTGTATTGTAAATGAAAAAATACAAATTATATTTTATACTCCATTTGAATATCTCTTTAGCCTACCACATTACTGTAATAATTGGCCTTTTACATGTTTACATAAGGCACACTTACATGTAAACCAATTTGAACAATAAAAATTGATACAGAAAAATATTTTCTACTCACCTAAAACGGAAATATAATTACAGTCTACTATCTAAATAATCTGTAAATACACATTTAAAAAAGTTGTGTTATAATAACTTAACCCTTCCAGGGCTATGGACGGATATATCCGTCAATCTTTGTTTACTTTCTGGGCTGAAAACGGATATATCCGTCCCGAGAAATTTCTTTTCTGGGATAAAGACGGATATATCCGTCCAAAAACGAATTGATATACTATGTTTATAATACGGTAATAAACATTGCACTGTATTATAAATGGGTTATTTTGTTTTTGTGGTTGGCAATAATAATTGCCACAGCTGTTTCGGCTATTATTTTTGCACCATAGAGTGTGCGTAAGTAAATATTTCTGCCACTTCACACATGGTTGTTAGTGAGTGATGTTTACATTTTGTGTTTTGTACTTTATTTTTATGTTATTGAGCTAAAGTTACTAATTCAAACGATCTGAAATTTGAAGATGTTATTGAGGTGCTTAATAAAAGTATGTCTGAGAGGGGTTTTATACTTGGCAGTGAAAATAATAGTAGGGTATGTGATGGATATGATGAAGCTGAAGAACAGTCTTTACGGGGTAGAAGTCTTGGCAAGGAATGGGATTGAGGACATGGGAGCGAAACTGAGTGGTTTAGATTTACTTCAGAATGATAAATACATTTTTATGGATAAAAAATAAAAACAAGGGAAGGAATAGCCTAAGGTTGACGGATATATCCGTCTGCCACCCACAAGAATACTCAAGATTATTGGCAGTGTTAATATTTTGTGATTATCACTGAGGGCGGCTGACGGATATATCCGTCCACCTTATGTTTTTTGTGGGCCAAAGACGGATATATCCGTCAAATCAAATTTTATTTTCTTCATAACTTTTGTACAAAAATTAGTTCAGCCCTAAGGAAAATCTTTTTATGATCCATGAATTATTTCAAATGAAATAAATACAAAACACAACCACTTTTAATATTAAACTAACCTGGTGTTCCGACATCACCAGCTATTGTCAGTCAGATGGTTGTCCTTTAAATTCTTTGGTCTTTGTAGGAAATATTCTTTAAATAATAAAGGTCAGGGTGTTTTGCCGTTTCTTTAATCGGTCATCTCCATCTGCACTAAAACTTGTAAAGAAAAAAAGAAATTTTTTACTTATGTATTTTGGTAAGGAAATACAACTACTTTATTTCCTTACTTAATTGATCATTCCATCAAATAAAACCACCTCACACCGTTATGTAATACAATTTAGGTATTCCATACAGGTGTGAGTATTATAAAAAGTTGCCCCCTGGTGGGGGTTTGAAAATGAAATTTAATTAATTTAATCAGACAACTGAGGACTAAATCAACCACAGAGCAGTGCGCAGTGGAATTAAAGATGTTAAGTGGGCCCTGTAATTAAATATCCCAGAAGTCCGATTTATGGACCGTGAGAGGTCTGTTGTCCTCCTTCACACCTTCTTCAGCTTAATTCTAACACTTCTTAAAAACTAATAGATGTGTTTATTTGAACACTCCATGAATTGAAATGTGCTACTCTGATGAAAGATTGTGACGTGAATTGACACTCTGTAAAACTGTAAAATTGCAAATAATAATATTGAAATATTGAATGAAAATATTTATGAAACTGTTTGTTCAGGAAATATTCATCAAAAGTATGACTTCAAGATGTTCATATATATGGATTCGGTTAAGCCGATTACTCATGAATTCACAACTTGATATTGAATATTATGAACTAAACTTATAAAAATTGCACTGTCAAAATATATTCATAAAATGTGATCATCAACACTCATTGTGTATACTTTGTATACTTCTTTCAGTTAAGCCATTTACCTCTTTAATTTATACCAGATTGATACTAATAATACTAGCTGAAACACAGGTGAATGAAAAGATGGATTTTTGTAAAAATTCTGTATAATGAATTTGAAATTGAGCTGTGACATGAATTGAACATAACTACTACTATTGCCTATTGTACACAACGTTTAATATTTTGAGAAAGAGAGAGTGAGAGAGTTGATTGTTTGTTCTATTGGCAGTTTCTCATCTTTAAAATACAAAGTCTCGGGAAACCTAGCCTTGACAACCTTATATATTTATTTTAGATCACCAGACTCCCCAAAGATGTTCGTGTTTATCAAACTGGCCAGTTTACAATTTAATCAAACAGTGACTATTATGTAGTTTGTGATCTACATCACTCCTTGCTGATCAATGCAACGGGGCCAATCGACTACTGAGTCGATTAATTGATAACTTTTACTTAGTATTTAATGTTTATGAATTTAATGGGAGTCTATCCTCATGACCCTTCATCAACCCTAGCCTTCGACCGAGCACTCTGTACCCCCATTTACGTTGACAATCAAACTCTCACTATTAAAAAATGTAACACTCTGTTCAAAATTATTACCTTACATGAAATACAAAACGTTATAAATAATAATACTGATGATGATAGAATTTGACCTTTGCATAGAACACAAAATAATAATATCACAGATAATCATTGTTCTTAAAATTAATAGACCATTTCAATTTAATTTAATAAATAATTTTCAATTGACTATAATTACTAATGTAACTTAAATTCTTTGCATGACATGATAAAATTCAATTTAATATTTTTCATCCTGAATTGTGACCATGTGCTCAAGGTGTACCAAATGAAACATGAAATATTCAAACCAACCAGGACATGATTATAACTTGTAAAACTAGTGGAACATGTGAAAAAATGGCAGATTGGCAGGACTACGTTAATACTAAAACACAAATAACACAATACATTTACTTACGTACACATGTCGACACATTCACATTCATTCCGACAAAGATTCACGCGTACCGAACATTTAAAAACTGACTCGTGGTAATTTTGACTTTTTGTCTGACCGAGCGGAATATCACGACACGGTTTTTTCTGGTGTAGGACTTATTAATTCTTGTTTTTTCGAGCTGGCGTTTAATGATTCAATTGAAAATACCGTCACGACGACCCGCGATTCGCTAGAAACTGACATTTGCTATCGATATGATGCATGTACGAATTTTCATCACGAACGCGAACAATCAATCCGGCATCTCAACTGTTAACGCCAACTCAACTGAACTAATAACTTCAAACTCAGACGTTGTGCGGATAGCCGATAACGCCATAGTCGCCATACCAAGAATGCCACCAGAAAAGTAATTGTTAAGGCCCAATTGATATAATCCCAATGGATATAATCAACCCTATGCACTTTCATATTATACTGTAAAAAGAAGAAATAGAAACATATGTTAAAAGAACAACAAAAACAAATAGTACAAGAATTAGACTATATTGTAAAAATAAAGAATTAAAATATGAAGTGAGTGTTACATTTATGTCTAACAAAAGTGTATTTAAAAACAACTTATCAAAAACAGTAATTGTCGCTGAGCTACTGACGCTCTTGACTGGTCGTGGAGCAGTACCTCGCGACTGCAGCTCGCGGCTCTAGCGACAGTAGCTCCAAGCAAAACGGAACTATGCAAAACCCGCAAGAGCAAGAGCAGTGTCCCGCGACTGCCGCTCCATGCAAAACGTACCTTTAGTAGACCTACATTAATAAGATTCCAGATTAAGGAGTAACACTCAAGCTCAGTTAAGTTTAAAAAAATAATATATGTATAGGACTACTGCTCTTTGAGACTAAACTGTTGTAATACAAGACAAATAATGTGAAAAAAAGGTCCATATCAATGAGGCTATTTTAAATAAAACTGCAATATTTATTAGACAACGTAGGCCCTATTACAAAATTGTCCTGTAAAACTTGTGTTTTTTGGTATTTAAATGATTTATTTTTGTTTGTTTTAGAGAGAGGAAGTACATTTAGTGGAGTGCCCTCTACAAGTAATTCTACAGTTAGTTCGCAACAAGTTATAACAGCTGAGTTTCCAACTACACAAGGATCAAGTCAATTTAAAGGATGGAAGCTGTATCATCCAAAAGAAAGTACTTACTACAGTTAATAACATTTTTCTGCAGCTTTTTCTAAGGCTCCTTCCTTTCTGAACAAACTCCTTTAAATACAGTAATAACATTTTAGTGATTGTAAAGCTCAAGGCCTTTGTAGGTTACTAATTGATTTTTGTCGGTGACTGTCAAAACACACTGAAAAAGTACTAGTTTAAATGCTTAGGCTATTTGATATGTAAATAAGTAATGTAATGTGATAATTTTGTGACACATGCTGGGACTTGCGTGATAAACTTAGACATTCCAAGGAGTTATCTTAATATTGGATCTTTGGGTTTTACTCCGTATCCCACAGTTTAAACAAATGTTGTTATTAGTTTGTAGGAACTGAAAGAAGCCCTACATTATTAATTCTTGATGGAAGTTTTATAATGCTGATTCAGTCTCTTTGTTTTTCTCGCATAGGAAACTTTGCTATCAGAATTAATTTGAAGTAAGAATACTACTTTACACCACTTACTTATTACACTTACTTTACACTTTATAGAGTACTTTATTGGGGCCGCAAACCTCTAAAAAAATAGTCTATATATTTTATAACATATTTTTCATTGTGAAGGTTACATGGAGGGATCTCCAACAGTAAACAAAACCAAAGCTGCGGAAGAATACTTGAAAAGGCACTCCCAGCTGTTCAACCCTGTTGACATTGAAGAACGACGATGTTGTTCTCTCGACTTTAAACATATCCTCAGTGATAAACAATTTATGGAAGATTGGCCAGATTTTGAGCAGCATTTACTTGATGAGCCTGAACACACAATCAATTGCTTGGGCTTAGCTATTCACCAGGTGAGTGTAATAGTTAAATAGAAGTTATTCAAATAAAGATTACAATTGGTTTGAGATTATACACTCAGTGCGGTTCGTTCAAGCATGGTGAAGCCAGGCTCGGAAACTAACTCATAAAATATTTCATCACTAAGGCCTAAAGTGACTCTTTTTGAAGTTCTCTCAAGTTAACGATCAAAGAGAAGCCGAGGTCGAAAAATGAGCAAAGGTTAAAAAGATACTTTTTCCTTTGTAGTGAACTATATTTTTTATCATATTGCATCATTATTATAACAAACGAAGCTAGAAAACGAAATAATTTTTATGTTAAGATAACCTCTTCCAAGAAAACGACTTCCAGCTTATTTTCATTTCTGCTTAACTTATGCAAATAAGCAGCTGTTTAGTAAGGGATTCAATCATTTTGTCTATTACGGTTGTGTTATAGTACATTATATCATCTTTATGTCGAGCGATCGACAACAATAGGCACCTTACATAATAAATAATTTTGAACGATACGATTGCCACAATCGAAATTACAACTGTTTACAACAGCAGATTTTTACTCCCTAAGGACTAAAAATGATTGTTATTCCCTAGAGAGTAAAAATGCTACTTTAGACCCGCAACGCATGCATTAAGGCTAAACATCCCTGAAAAAGTTGTGTTTCTGGCCTGATAGATAGCAGCACCTCTGCGGCAAATTTGTACTACGAATAATTTCCGTAATTATTAAGTCCAATTTTTGTTTTGTAAGTTATTTTGTAAATGATATGAATAAAAAACTCACGCCAGTGTGATGATAAAAAAAAATTATTAACAAAAAAGTTTGATAGAGATTTATTTTGTTTCTGTAATATTTTTTTTTAATCGCAGGTTGCTATGTACTATGAAAATCAAGTTGATTTATGTTTTAAAACATATTTTTATTCTGTACCAAATTATTGTAAGTTAGCTTTTTAAGTGAAACAAAACAAAACAAAACAAATTAATGTAAACAAAGTCACGTGATAAATAAAAGAAATTAGGAAACAGTTGGTTAAACACAGAGCACGTCTCCCCTAAGTTTTAGAATCACATATTCATTCTTTTAACCGGTTGTTTTTTCCTTGAGCTTCTTCTTAAGGCAGGGTTTGATAGGCTTCACCGTTAGGTAGAGGAACTAGAGGTTGGTTAAAGCGACCTTCATCTTCAGTATGGTTGTTGATCACATGATCATTTGCTCCCTGAAGTTCTTCATCTTGAATTGTAGGCCCTAGAGGAAGTTTGATATTAATAAAGTAGTCCCTGTCGTCCTTCTCACCGCTTAAATTTGAACCGACCGATCTTATTTGATCAATGTGTCTCCTGTAGGTGGAATTTCCAGATTCAATATTATAGTAGCACGTACCCAGTTTTTGTAGAATCCTTCCAAATCTCCACTTTTGAGGCGTTCCGTAGATTCTAAAAGAAACAGATTCTCCTTCTATAAAGTTCCTCCCACAAGATTGTTGGATAGGCTGGTCATTTGTGCAAGTATTTGAAGAGTTAAGAAGTGTCAAATCAAGTCTTGACCTCAACGGTCTGCCGATGAAAAGATGAGCAGGTGTTAACCCTGTAGTTGCATGAGGTGTTCTCCTATATGCCATGAGAAATCTGGCAACCTTTTGGTTCAGGGAACCAGGTTCATCTTTCATAGACCTAAGGGATTGTTTTAAGGTCTGAACATATCTTTCGACCTGCCCATTGGTAGCCGGATGATATGGAGCAGAACGTTTGTGGCATATGCTATTCAGTTCTAAGAAGCTTTTAAATTCTTGAGGAGTATATTGTGGACCGTTGTCTGAAACCAAGATATGTGGAATGCCAAAATTGCTGAAGAAAGTTTACAGGCAATCTATGGTTTTGTTTTTAGTTGTAGAATTCATTGGAATAACTTCTGGCCATTTACTGTACGGTCTGTACCTGTAGAGGTACAGTAGCTGTTCATAAATGGTCCAGCAAAGTCAACGCGAATTCTCTCCATAGGTTTTTCAGGAGCAGACCATGGATGTACAGGTACTTTGGTTGGATCATTACGATGCTCTTGACAATTTTTGCAATTTCGAACCAATGTTAATATCATGGTCAATATTTTTCCACCAGACATAGGAGCGAGCTAAGCTTTCATCCGAACCATACCTATATGTGCTTCATGAAGTTCTTGAAGAATTTCGTTTCTTAATGATTTTGGTATTACAACTCTATGTCCTTTAAATAAGCACCCCATTTGGCAGCTCCATTCTGATTCAGTGTCTCTGAACTCACTTGAATGGTTTATGAGCTTTCCTTCATTAAGAGCTTCATAGATGTCTGACAGTTCCTGATCTTTTTGAGTTTCTTCTGCTATTAGTTTGCTTGAAACGGGAAAGGTTTGGAGTTGTTATATTTCAAAAACATCAACGTTGTTTATTTGGTTAACATCTTGGCAAATATTTGAAGGTAAACGGGATAAGGCATCTGCGTAGGCATTTTCATCAGTAGATTTGTATTTGATGTCGAAATTAAAGGCTTGGAGGAAAACAGCATAATTTTGTAATCTAGTGGCTGCTAGAATTGGTATACCTTTTTTGTCACCAAATATATACAGGGAGCAGCAGAAATATCTGACGGTTTTCAAGGGAGTACAGTCCGGCAGCCGAGTGGAGGGGGGTGGTGGGGAGCGGCTCATTCTCAAGGGACCCCATTTCAGTCGCCATGGAGAAGTGGACCGGTATACATCGCGTTGAGGCGTATTTCAAAAGTGGCGATTCTGTTGTTGATACGCAACGTAAGTTCCGTAGGCATTTTAATGTGGCTCGTGGGGAACCTATCCCATCCCGAAACACCATCAAATTGTGGGTGGATACCTTTAGATCCACAGGATCAACTGCAAAACGTAGGCCTACAGGCTGTCCAAGGTCAGTGAGGACTCCGGAGAACGTGGAGCGAGTGCGACAAGCTGTGCTAACGAGCCCGCATCGCCCGGCGCGTAGACAAGCTGCTGCTCTTGGCATGTCTGATCGCTCTATTTGACGAATTTTGCACTCAGACCTTCACTTTCACCCATATAAAATAGCAATCGTCCAAAAACTTCAGCCTCACGACCACGCTAATCGTCAAACATTTTCAGAGCAAATTGTTTGTAAAAAAATTCTTGTAATGTGTGATGAGGCCCATTTTCCCCTAGATGGCTATGTAAACAAACAGAATTTTAGGTATTGGTCTAATAGTTGATCCTGTGGATCTAAAGGTATCCACCCAAAATTTGATGATGTTTCGGGATGGGATAGGTTCCCCATGAGCCAAATACGAAAATTACGTTGCGTATCTACAACAGAATCGCCACTTTTAAAATACGCCTCAACGACAAACGCGCGATGTATACCGGTCCACTGCTCCATGGCGACTGAAAAGGGGTCACTTGGCCTTGAGAATGAGCCGCTCCCCACCACCCCCCTCCACTCGGCTGCCGGACTGTACTTCCTTGAAAACCGTCAGATATTTTTGCCGCTCCCTGTATGTGAATGGTTTTTGGTCGGTGAAAAGAGTAAAGTGATGGCCATACAGGAAGTAATAAAAACTTTTTACAGCAAAGTAGATGGCTAATGCTTCTTTCATTATGACACTGTACTTCATTTCCGAGGAGTTTAATGTTCGTGATGCCATTGCAATAGGTCTTTCAGACCCATTCGGATAAACATGTGAAAGAACGGCTGAGATGCCATGCTGGCTTGCATCTGTAGCTAAGATGAGTGGTAAGTTAGGATCAAAATGAGTAAGAAATATGTCTGATTTCATTTCCTCTTTAATGTTTTGGAATGTTCTTTCACAGTCCTCAGACCAAAAGAATTTGTGTAGATGACTTGGTGAGATTTATAAGAGGATATAAATTCTCACTTATGTTTGGAATGAACCTTCTGTAGTAATTAATCAGACCAAGGACGTGTCTGACTTCATGTATGTTTGAAGGGCGAGGCAAATGGTCAATAGCTTCAATTCAATTCAAAGATACTTTATTCACAGTGCTTCAGTTAGTTTTTGAGTTTTGTATATCCCTTTGCTGCTAATTTTATACCCCAAATACTCAATCTCATTTACCATAAAACTTGATTTTTGTCTATTTATTTTAAGATTGTACTGTTTGAACCTCTCAAAAACCTGTTTTAAACGGCTTAGATGTTGTTTGTTAGTGGTGCCTGAAACAACTATATTATCATAAAAGACTTGCACCCCTTGTATCCCTTCAACAACTTTCTCCATTGCTTTTTGCCTAATAGCAGGAGCTGCAGATATTCCGAATGGTAATCTATTATATTGGTACAAACCTCTATGTGTATTTATTGTTAACAAATAACGATCTGACTCTCTTATGGGCATATGAAGAAAAGCCTCCGATACGTCAATTTTACTGTAGGTGATACTGTTACCAATTTTAGATAAGATTTGTTCAATTGCTGGAGCTTGGTACTCAGGGACAAGAAGAGATGGGTTGAGTGTGACTTTGAAATCACCGCACAGACGTATGTTACCATTGGCTTTTACTATTGGAACTACTGGTGTTGCCCAGTATCAAATTCCTCATTCACTCTAGGATTAAAAAAGAAATTTGCAAAAGGAACTGATCGAGCTTTCTTAAAAACTGGTTCAGCATCGGGTTTTAAATAAAGTTGTGCTTCCAATCCCTGAAGTTTGCCTATGTTTTTAACAAATAGGTCATTTTCATATTGTTTTAAAAGATTTTCCAAGCCCAAGTTATTTTTGGAACTCGGTTGATTTCTTGCCAGTCAATTTTTATTTGTTTCAACCAATCCCTACCAAATAGAGTATCACGGTCTCCTTCCACAATGTATAGAGGTAAAACTTTGGTCTGTCCATGATAGTTAACTTTTACCATAGTTTTACCTATTGGAGAAAAACAGTGTTTATTGTAATCTCTGAAAATAACATTGCTTGGTTGCAACGGTCTGTGGCTTGAAAACATTCTTTTAAAGTTATAGTGCGACATGATTGACGCTCCA